TAAAGGAGGACTAAGGGGGAGAGAGTGTAGTGTATAATGGCTGTATGCTCTGACAGCGAAGATGCAGTGGAACTATATATATTTTTTAAATGGAAAGAAAGCAGGGGAGAACATGTGGAATTTTTTTTTAGATATCTTTGATGATCATATTGGTGGTGATATGAGTATTGCAATTTTGAGATAGTTGCTGTGTAATGTCAGATAAAACAAGTAGTATTGGAATGTTCCAATCCTGTCATCCCCTCTGCTTTTAGGAACCATGATTCTCAGAATGGAAGAAAAAAGGTTTTGATGTTATAAGGAAGTGGCTAAGTAAAAACTCTCCAGTATTGAATTTGAATAGAAAGTATCATTATGCATTTATGAGATGTTTTGTGAATATTTCATCCTTATGTTCTTATGCTGGTAGCTTCTTTATCACTTGAGTCATCTACAATTCATTCTCTGGTAGGTTTCTCAGGAAGAACTCATGGGAACAATACTCCCTGAATACTGTGCCTTTTATACTGAAAAGTCAGCTTTGCTGGATATAGAAACTCTGTCTCAGGAGAAAGCATCGATAGCATCTAGATTGTGGTTTTTGAAACACTATTTCTCTGTAAGATAAATTAGGGCTTCTTGGAGAAATAAGTCAGAGCCAAGAAGTATACGAAATGAAGCTGGAACATCTTAATTAACAAGGAAACCATGAAAGATTTGACTTTCAATGATGATAAGAATTGAAACCCTCATATATTTTTAAGCCATGATTTAATAATGATATTAAAAATACTTGATCACTTTCATAAAATTATAGGGAACCAGTTTATTATATTGGAAACTGGGAAATAAAGGAAAGAATTAAGCATTTATCCTGATGTTTATGTGAACTGTACCATTGGGTATCCAAATAGTAACTAAAGGGCAGAGTCTATTATAATAGTATTCCAGGAACAGAATGAAAAAGTGACAGAATTAGAATACTACCATTTTGTTCTTTTATTACATGTATGCATCTGCTAGTCTTTATTGATATTTTTGTACAGTTTATAAAAAGGTAGCATTTCTTTATTTATTGCTACTGGCCAGTAAATGACAACATCTAATGCTGATGATAATATGAAAGGTGCCTCTCTGATGGACAACCAGCATAACTGTGAGATGACCCTGAATCTCTACATTGGTTCAAGCCCATCTCTGTTCGGTGCTATTAAGGAAAGGGACTTTTTTTTTTTTTTTTTTTGCAAGCACCATTTTGTCCTTTGAGGAATTTCACTTCAATACAATTTATCAATTCAGTGGGATAGAGAAAGTGCTATTCTAGGTACTATTTCTCTCACTCATTTTAGCATGAAGTATTCCTGAGGCAGAATTAAGTACTTCCAGAGATGTTATATAGTATCAGGAATTTTTAAGAGGGCTGGCTGGCCACAGAGGCAGGAAGTAGCATGGCACATATCCCTGTGATAGCTAGCACAATTTGGGCCCTTCATTCAATCTTGACCAGGTCCAGAACTTGATTCACCATAATTCATAAAGTTCAGGGGTAGACCCACATTAGCAAAAGTGCAAAGACTGTGGTATAAATCAGAATGTCAGTCTGTTAACTTTTCCATAATTGGTAACTGCTAAATGAATGAGAACACTCACTTTAGCTCTATTCTTTCCCAACTCGGCAGGTACGTACATTTGAAGCCAGAAGGTTGTACTGTTTGAAAAGGGAGGTGGATGATTCTAATGGTTGGTGACATTCTCATCACATTCTGATCCACCCATCTTCACTCCAGGGAGATACCTGCCAGCTGGACCAAAGCACTTACATAAACCATGTCAACATCTTGCAATATACACACTTCCAAATTCTTGCTTTCTAGCTTATCTTTTCCAGGCTCCACATGCAAGGAGAAAGGGAACACCTTCCTAGTCAGCCAGAGCTTCTGGTCAACGCTAGTGATGAGTGTCATGATACTTAAAGCAGCCAGCTCACTTCACATGCAAAGAATTTCAGACAAATGGATCTAACAAACAAACATGGAGCACCTTCCATGGACGAGACACTAAGAGTAATCACCAGGGATCCCTGGTCTTAAGTCACATACAACCTGGTAGGACCAGATTTAAACATTCTTTGCCCACTCATACTAGTAGTTATGCATAGTATGACTGAATCAGAGAAAGCATCAAAGTATGAACTTCAACTTGTATAAGAGGGCTGAACTATAACAGAACCCATTCCATAAATTTTATTAGGTGAGATTGGAGCTACTGGATTCAGCCTTTTCAGGCAAAAGCCTACTGTTTGGTTGCGTGTTTAGAGAAATACCAGTGACTTCCTCTGAGGGTGGCTAAGTACTGAGAAATGGGACTACATCTCTCCAGCATTCCTTTAATGCTGTAGGTCTGGCAGGGCGGGGGTGGGGGGTGGGGGGGGAAGGGAGTTGTGTTTGGCTGGTTCATTCGTCTGTTTTTAAGTCTGGGATAGAACACAAAATGATTGCTGCTGCTTCAGGGTTCCGGGCTCGTCCTGCTCTGAGTTCAGGTGATCATGGTGTGTGAGCCCCTGCTGTTCCGCAGGCCCAACAGCTACACAGCCACTGAATTATCTTCTCACAGGCCTGGTGCCAGGACTGGAAGCATAGTGTCTAAAATTAAAGATTTCTTTCCATTCTGGAATTTTGAACTTATCTTTAGAACACAAATGAGAGTGTGGTGATGACAGCGAAACCGTTAATCTGGAGAGTTGGCTATTCAAAAAGAAGCCCTGGCTGGGTGGCTCATTTGGTTGTAGCATTGTCCCATACAGCAAAAAGTTCCTAGTTCGATTCCCAGTCAGGACATGTATAGCTAGGTTGTGGAATCCATCCCCAGTCAGAACGTGTATTGGAGGCACCTGATCGATGTTTCTCTCACATTGATATCTCTCTCTCTCTCTCTCTCTCCTTCCCTTTTTTTCTCACTTTCTAAATCAAGAAACATATCCTTGATTTAGGTAAAAACACACACACACACACACACACACACACACAAAAAGACACAAACAAAAAAAACTTAAAGGCCTTATTCCTTAAATATATTGGACTTGAAGTGGAAACAATTGTGTATTTTGGATTTAAGAGAGTTTTGGGAAGGAACGTCCCGCTCCCCCCCCTACAAGTTTTTTGTTTAATTGCCTGGCAGGGTGAGAAATCCCAACACAACAGCGTGGAACTGGGGCATGAAAAGCAGCAAGTGAAACGGATTTATGAAGCCCATAAATAAAAATGAAAGTCATTTCATTGTCCAAATTGAGTGGAAAGGCACAATCTATCCCAATTCTGATAAATGGAAGAGTGGGACACACATAAGGGTAAGTTCTTTCCATTTTAATAAAGCCACATGATGGGTGTAACATAACTGAGGAATTTCAGAAAAAGGGACGTTTCATTTTGCCAGACTTGACCAAGGAAGCATGTTACTGTAACTACTCTATGGGGAAAAATGCACACTTTTCCAAAAAGAAGTTCAATCAATTGCATGCTTACCCAGTGCCCAAATGAGTGCTTTCCCATAAAGCCAACAGCAGTGAAAGGAATGACAAACAAGGTCAAGGTTGTGGCCGTGTTTGACAGGAGATTTCCATATTTCTGGAATTTGGGGGTTTGTCAGCCTTTTACTATTTTTGACTAAGAAGAGCGTTGGTACCTTATTCTTCATTGAAACTGTTTATTCCTGTACAAATGGACCGGATAAGACTGAGGTGGGCGCCAGCAGTGAACAGCTCTATTGAAAGAAAGGGATGCCTGCAGTGTGAATGGTGGGGTCTTTGTGCTCCGGCTCCTCAGGTTTGGGCTACTGTCTGCTTCTTACTCCTCACTGATTTCCAGCCCCACCTTCTCAGGCGTGTCAATTCAGCCAGTTCTCTTTCTAACTAAATTCTTGTTTCCTTCAAATTTTTGTTATTAGTTTTTGTTTTTGTTAATCCTGGCCTGAGGATATTTTTCCCATTGATTTTTAGGAAGAGGGAGGGAAAGACTAAGAAGAAAAAAGTAAAGACAAAAATTATGTACAACAAATACATATCTATCAACAAGTGAATCTAAAAGTCAAGTGAATTAAAAACCTAAGGAACAGAATAAACTGGTGAATATTAATAGAATCAGGGGCATCGAATGGGAGGGGATTGATAATTCTCAGGGGGAAAGGGGTGTCTGTGTGGAGGGTACGGGAAGAGACTGGACAAAAATCATATACCTATGGATGAGGACAGTGGTGGTGGGGGTTTGGGAGGGAGGAGGTAAGGACAAAGGGTGGGGTGGGAACCAGGTGGAGGGGAGCTATGGGGGGTGGGGGAGAAACAATTGCAATACATTGCAATACATTGATTGGTTGCTTCCTGCATGGCCAACCAGGGCCAGGCCTGGGAAGAGCCTGCAACCAAGGTAAGTGCCCTTGACTGGAATCGAACCCAGGACCCTTTGATTCACAAGCCCATGTTCTATCCACTGAACCAAACCAGCTAGGGCTGTTTGTAGTTTTTTTGTTTTGTTTTGTTTTGTTTTCTTCTTTTTTTCTGATTCATTATCAGTCTGTTTCTGGACATACTTATGAAAAGGGCAAGTATGCAAGTTGGTTGGTCCAAATTAATAGCACAGTCTGTAGTCATGAAACCAGAGAGAAGCCAGTGGGCTGATAAGAGAATCATAGCCAGGCATGAATTTATCATCTTTAACATGGAACTAAAAACTCACTTGACATTCATTTAATAAACATGTTGGACACTTGTCTTGTCCCACTGATTCTCCTAAGCACTGTACATGATTTAAAGATAAATTAGACCTGGGCCCCAATAATCTCACAGCAAATGTCAGAGTCTTTCCTCCCTCAATTTTCATCAGCACCCCTAGACCCCTCAACTCCTCCCCCCAAGATACAGCCGATCTAGATAAAAATTACATGTTTGCTTTGCAAATATGGCTTTTAGACAAGTTTTTTAAGCCCTTTCCAACTGGATTGCTCCCTAAGTCTGTCTTTTTTTCCCCCCCCAGAAAAGAAAGTCAAATTTATTTAATGAAAAACTAGAATTAATAAAAATTAGCAAATACACACAAAAATATATATACACACAGAAGCACTATGTATTGACTCAAAAGAGGGGAAGCAGTGGCCCAAGACCACTCAACATGGCTTGTCAGTTAAAAGAAGAAAAAACCCCAAACACACACATGTACCCAGACACACACCCAGACACTTACACCCAGAAACAAAAGTATTTTTCAACAGTACACTCAATCTACAACAAACACAAATCCAGAATTATTTTATAGTGCTTCCTTTCTTAATACAAAAGATGCCCATCCTAAATCTGTCTTAAATAGATTTTCTGAAGCTACCACAGCCTCCCAAATAGTCACTGAAAATGTGCTCTGGCAACTAAAGGGCCAAAAAACATCTCTAAATCTCTTCATCTCTCTCTCTCTTTTTTTTTTTTTTAAATTAAATATATTTTTATTGATTTTTTTTACAAAGAAGAAGAGAGAGGGATAGAGAGTTAGAAACATCAATGAGGGAGAAACATCGATCAGCTGCCTCTTGCACACCCCCTACTGGGGATGTGCCCGCAACCAAGGCACATGCCCTTGACCAGAATCGAACCTGAGACCCGTCAGTCCACAGGCTAAAACTCTATCCACTGAGCCAAACCAGTTAGGGCCATCCATCTCTTTATTTATGTATCTTTCGAGATTTAGACTAAGGCTACGAAGAGGATAGATTCCCTCCCACTTGTTTTTGTGAACTACTGGAAGCATCTTGCTGTCTCTTCATACACTGAGGTGAAACCAACCCATTTTTGGAGGTGAAGTCTTTTCCACCGCCTCCTTTATCTTCAGGAATTAAGTCTATGGCACCTTGGGAAACTTGACTTCAAACATGCCCAGGGCACATCCTGGAATTGATATTTCTTGTTTGGTGTCCTTGGATCATTAAAGACTGTGACTGTGAAGAGCTTCTCCCGTGGTGAGAATTTGACTAATTAAATTACCACAACTGGAGGAACTTCACTGCCTGATAAAGCAAAATCTATCGCTGAAAATTGGAGTGCAGAGAGAGGAAAGTCCTCATGTTTGCAGCACTGCGTAAGGGAGGGGCCCTGCGTGCAAGGGATCGGAGTGCTTTGAGCACACAAAGAAGGTTCCCTGTGGTGTGGAGGGAGGATTCCATTGGGCAGAACCCTCCCACGCATTCTGCCTCCCTGTCCTGATTTCAGGTTCACCAAGGAGGCTTCCGATGAACAATTCAGCTTTCCCTCTCTCAAACAGTTTTATATCGGAAAGGGGATCACCTAGATAAGGGAGCACCAGAATTCCAAGCTCTAGGAAGGAATTTCTGAACTCCTCCATGATAAATTATGATTTATTGGTCAATTGTATGTTAATCTGCTTAGAACAAGTTCCAATCTCTGGAACTTGTATCCTTGAGGTGCTTGAGAGCCCCTTTCCTACGAGTGACCACCCACCCTCCTATAGCATCTTCCTAGATACCTCCGCAAATTCCAGCAACACCCCCCCAACCTCCCCCCCCCCCCCATGTCACTTTTCACTCAAGGATAAGACCATCCATCAGACCATGTGCTACTTAGGTTGTGGGTTTTAAAGATTTTATGTCTTTCTGCCTCTTACCACTTTATGCTAGACAATAATTTTCTAAAAGGAAGTAGAGTAGCGGGAGTAGGAGTATGCAAATTAACATGAGTATTAAGAAACAAAGGAAGACCTGCAGGCCCTCTTCAATCACGATTGGGCAATTGTTCTGATTTGCTGCTGTGTACTTGAATAACACCTCTCTGACAACGAGTGCTCCCCAACAATGCTCCTTACAAAAGGGGGAGAAAGAAAGAGCAGCTCACCATTAAAATCAGACTAAGGTAGCCTCCTCTTTGAATAACTCTGACCTGGAAGAGGGATGAGCCCAGAAGGAAAAAATTTGAAAAGTTTACTTCAGGTTGAGAATTTCTAATTCCACCACTTTTGTGTGTGTGTGTTGTTGTTTGATAGACATGACAGCATCTCCTCATTATTATGGAAAATATAGGGTTGGTGGTAATTACTATCTGAATATGAATGGGAGCAGAAGTGGGCATAGCCTGCACTGGCCTTTCTTTGACAAGGTATAACTTTCTTCTGAATTTCTGTGTTAATTAATGCTTATTTAAAAACCACTTTAATTGGTAGTAAACACCTCAACTTTTTGTACTCATTAAAATGCAGCCATTGATGTGTGATGTTTTTTTTTTTTTAAGCTTAATTAACTTTCCTTCTGTATATGTAACCTATAATAATGACAAACATATTGGGAAAAAATCACCCCAGCATTTTCCCCCTCTCCCTCACAGCCCCCATTATAAAGACATTTTTGGCTGTGGCTGTCTCACTTTGTTAGGATCAGATGCCATTAATTTGGCATTTTGGAGAGGAGTAGGTGGCAGGAAATGAAGGCTTTTTGAGACACTGGCCATTTCTAAACCAAATATTCATGCCTCTTCGGGAGAAATAGTAAATTTTTTTAAAGCAAAGAAAAAGTTTAACGGAACCAATACCTCAAGACTAAAGATATGTCTTGAGTATCTTTGTGGAAAACATCAAATTCTTAAGATGTTCTTAGAAATATTTTTTTGGAGTGGTTATAGTTGTGTGGGAACTGAGTAATGCACCCCTCCCCTTTTCATCAGGAGATATAATTACTATTGAGGTCATAGAACTAGCTTAGAGAAAATTTGGAAAATAGGAAACGATTATTTATTATTTTATTGATTTTTAAAAAAATATATTTTATTGATTTTTTACAGAGAGGAAGGGAGAGAGGTAGGGAACTAGAAACGCCGATGAGAGAAATATTGACCAGCTGCCTCTTGCACACCCCCTACTGGGGTTGTGCCCGCAACCAATGTAGTACATGCCCCTGACCGGAATCGAACCTGGGACCTTTCAGTCTGCAGACCAACGCTCTACCACTGAGCCAAACCGGTTTTGGCAATTTTATTGATTTTTTTTTACAGAGAAGAATAGAGTGTTAGAAATATCGATCAGCTGGGGATGTGCCCGCAACCAAGGTACGTGCCCTTGACTGGAATTGAACCTGGGACTCTTCAGTCTGCAGGCTGACACTGAGCCAAACCGGTCAGGGCAGGAAACAATTCTTAATAGCCTCACTACCCTAACACAACAACAATTTTTCATTTTCCATTTTTCATAATACCCTTGCATTCTTTGTCTATAGCTGGCACAAAATTATTAATGGTAAAACCACAGTCAGCAGGTATAGAAGGAAATGAATCAAGGGCCAGTTAAAAGGTGAAATTGAAGGAATGAGGAAGAATTGATCTTGTGGTTTAACAGTCATTGGATAGGAAATTTGGGTTTATTAAGGGGGGAGTGCCAAGGGGATGTGGCTGGTGGAGGGGAATAACAGTTATAGGGCCAAGTCATACTGGTACAAGGGAAATTTTCAGTCTTAAAAGTCCCTAACAGCCCCTCCACTTGGTTAACAGGAAAATCAAGTCTCATCATCTGATCAGATTCTGATTTATTTTTTCCTTCAAATTATATAACTTAATGTTCATTCCAGTCTCAGACTCATTGGTAAGAACTGCTGTCAGAGTTTTTGTGTGTGATTTTTGTCTTAGAAGTTGAATCCGGTATGTTGGCTTTGTGTCTCAGACAAAATTTGTTGTTAAGAAATATGTGAAGCTCTATGCCTCATGGTGAAAACAATTGCATCAAATTAACCTTGATTTCAAGATGGAGCTTAAGGTAACCCAAGAGTCTAATCTCATTTTTAGGTACAAATTGCATCACTCAAAAGCAAAGGTGGGGAATGTCTGGCCCGTGAAATCATTTGATCTGGCCCTGCCAAGGCATTAGGGGTGAGTGAATTAAATGTTTGACCAAGCCCTAACTGGTTTGGCTCAGTGGATAGAGTGTTGGCCTGTGGACTCAAAGGTCCTAGGTTCGATTCTGGTCAAGGGCATTGTACCTTGGTTGTGGGCACTTGCCCAGTAGGTACATTTTAAAATCTAGTCATTGATGTTTCTAACTATCCCTCTCCCTTTCTCTCTGTAAAAAATTAATAAAATATATTTAAAAATGTTTGACCAAATATAGCAGGCTAATTTTTAATTTGATAATTCTGTATGGCCCACAAATGATATAAATATCCAAATGGCTCTTATCAGAAAATAGGTTCCCCACCCTGACTTAAAGGAAGAGCTTAAGATTTAGTTCATTGAGAAAGGATGGTGAGCATGTTTCAATTTGTGAGCCACGGCTGCCTGATTTGTTAGTAAACCCTTGGGACTCAACTGCTGTGATGAGCAGGACTCTCAGGCAGCATCTAGGCGCAGTGGGGAAGAGGTCAGTGATTCATTCACTCAACAGGTTGTACAAAGCACTTACTAAGTTGTACCAAGTGTTGATGCTTGCAGCTCACATGGAACTTACCACTTAGCGATGCATGTATTGTGCGTACGTGTGTGTGTGTGTGTGTGTGTGTGGCGAGGAAAGAGGAGGCACATTGTTTTCTTCATACTTCCATCTCTAAGCTAATGGGACTATTCAGTTAGTGCCAGATTAATTCAAGCAGTAGAAGTAACTGCTAATTAGCTGTCTCTCACATGCTTTCTTACAAGAAGGATGTAGATTCTGAAGTGTTTTCCCCTCATCATGATGAGTCCTGCGGAACTAACCATATGCTTCTTCCCTGTGACATGTGTTTTCAAGGAAACTAAAGGTGTTAATGGAAGACCATCTTCTTTTATGTCTCTTTCCCTGGCTCATTCCTCTGGCTACCATGGAAAACTTGGCATATTCTTGTTAGGCCCAAGATTCCATTCCCTTACACTGAATTTTCTATTTTCTTAAACAGCTTAAACTAGCCAATGGGAATGATATTAATTCTCCTTCTCCGTTCCTATAAGTGTTTGATTGCACCCAGCATGGAGCAGGAGGATGCCACCTTTCCTTTTTAATTGCTTCAGCGGAAGTGATGGATTTAAAGATGAGCTGGATTTCCAGAGGGGCTCATTCTTAGCTAGGGCTCTGGGATGGTGACTCCGTAGACTCAGTACCGTGAAACTCAAGTGAAATGGTAAACAGCACAAAGAGACCAACATAGTCAACTCACTGGTTTCTTGTCTCCGTGAGACATATTGGGCTACTGCCAAAATTAACAAGAAAAAGAATTTATTTATAAAGAACACAGGAAATATTGTAGATTGTTAAATATTTTTCTTTTTTCTTTATTATCTCTATCTATGTAATAAATGTTGTAAATCTAGGACCAGGTTTCTAAAATATTTTCTCT